TCAGCTGAGCAGATTACAAGGGGTAGGACATTGCGCAGTACAGCATACTAAAAAACGATGCCATACATTTAGATGCAAGCAGCATCGTCCACAAGGAAGTCAATTGGCGAAAAAGTAAGGTTTTGGAAGCAATCACTGTTGAACGAACAAAAAGCAAGAAGGCAAGAAAAAACGTGCAAGACGAGTCCCCCATGGCTCAGTTGCTACATGACTAATCTGTCAATAAATGTATCGTACGATCGTACGTTAAGTGATGTGCGTCTTCCATCACAACCTCGACCTAGTACGAAAAACATTCAAAATACACCGTACATTAAAACAGGGGTCGTCAACCAAAAAGAAAGGACTCAAAGTTAGAGTCTAATCAAAAGTGTTTCGCTACTTTAAAAATCCAAGATCGGTGTGGATCTTGTTCCGAGGTCAACAGTGGTTGTACACTTCCTGAATCGAAACTGTTTAAATAATCGAATAAAAAATCTATTTACGTAAACTAATATTTGCAAACTTTAATACAAGACCCAAGCTTGGATAGCATTAGAAACACCTTTCCAAGAATACCTACTCCTATAAATAGTACAACTACTTCTAAACCAAGCTGTCATTTTCCCCAGCTTCTTCCTGTCATTTCTAACACAGAAGAAACGGCCGCGAATCGCATATGCAATAGTGATGCTGAACACTCCACTTACCTAGTAATCCTTGATTAGCGTCGAATCGCGAAAACCCGCTGTCCACAAATTTGGGATGTGGCATGATTTCCTGCCAAACATTCGAGATGAACGAAAGTCTATCGCGTTACACTGCATATATGTAGCTGTTACTTTCGGTCTCATCCAAGTATACGTATCTCTGTATCGGTCAGTGTGGAATATCGAGTGGTCATCTGCAGGAAAATCCTGATCATCCCACAGGAAGTGATTTTCTAAGCAGAACTGCTTAATGGAGCGGTATTTGTCAGACATGATTGCTTGACGCCTACAACTCAAGGAATCGATTGCTTGAGTTGTAACCGCGGATCGCTCGTTTAGTAACCGAAACAGGGATGAAGACAGCAGCATCGCAGGAAATA